TGTTACCGAGCCAAGATGTCCTCTGTGTTAGAGATGTGCAACTCTGACACATTCAGGCAACACACACACACACACACACACACACACACACACACACACACACACACACACACACACACACTGAATGCCCTCCCTGCGTTATGCAAACCGGAATCAACTGTAACTGAACTGAATAGTTAATTCATACTCACGATGACAAAGTTCCCTTTTCATTGTGTCAATGATTAGATTATTAGCAGCAGTAGTTGGTCGAGCTTTAGCAAAATACTTCTGCACTATAAAGTTACACAACCTCAGAGAAACATTTCTGTCCAAGATCTCCACTCCTAAAAACTCCATACATGAGTATTTGTGTCTTGCAACAAATAAAGAAAGAAAACTTTAAGGTTGCAGCTTTACCTTGATCTGCATGGACAAAGGCTGAATGTTCCTACTACATTGGCAAGTTTGTTTTCACAAAAAATTGATAAAATATAAATCTCTGAGGATCCACTTCCACAATCAAATAACTTTTCGCAGAACAATTCCTGTCAAATAAATAAAATTAAAAATGCTCGTGAGATATGTATCAACTTTTAAAGCATTTTTCACTCATGTTTAATTTTTGATAAGTTGTATTTTTCTACAGACACAATTATTGCATGTTTAAAGATTGAATGCTGCAGATAGACTGGAGCCTGAATATTCAGACGTTCCCACAATCCACCGCTAGATGGCGCTCTATCCCACCACACTAACCTGTGTTCTCCCTGAGCTGCTCCAAGGACATAATCACTTCAGCACAGTGTTGGCAACTCTGGTGTAACTATGTGGTAATAGGAGGAGAGGTGCTGGGTAATCATGCATCATGTGTACTCCTCTCCACTTTTTAATATGCTTGAGTTGAGTTAATTATTTTTTCTGTTACTTTCTTTCTCTACCTCACTACATGTTTGAGAGAAATCATTTTTTCATTTTCCACTCTGCTACATTCATCTTATTCCTTATTTTGCACTTTTACTGAAGGAACATTTTGAATTGATCTCTATTACTTGTAGTTGAGAACTATTAGAGAAAGGCTAGCTGCCAAATTCCCTGTGTGGCAGCAGGAATTTGACTCAGAACTAATAGCACTTCTAAATGATGAATGATGATATGAATGATGGCTGAATTCAATTTCACTGTCAGAGTCCCAGTATTGTCTCAACCACATGACATATTACTGGGACGAATAGAACAGAAGCATCATCAGTGTCATTTGTATCATCTGTGGTTTTCCAACAATGACAAGTCCAAACGTCTGCTGTGACAAATGGGCACTTCTCAGAAAATAAAAGCATGTTTAACCAAGCTACGAGGTATACAGATAGATAGATAGATAAATGTCCACACAATACTGAGAGAGGGTTATTTAATGCAACTACTTTGTAACTAAATTAATCTGTGCTTCATCAGATTGGAGCTGGAGCCAATCCCAGTGGGATTAGGTGTCTGGTGTAATATCTCAGGACATCGTGAGGGAACTTCTTCAGATTTGGAACAAACATTCACTGTGTTTCAAAGATGAATTGATGGTCAAAGGTCAAAGTCACACAGAAATCTCATGTTACACATCTTGAGCATGTTATCTTAAGAACACCTCGTAATTTATAGTTTGGCAAAAGTTTTCACGTAGACTCATAGATTAACTGATTAGATTTGAGAGGTCAAAGGTCAAAGTTAAAGGTCACAGTTTTTGGCCTCTCCAACGTGATACCTCATGTCTGCCTTTTAGGAGTTTCTTCAAAACTTTTGACCAGTTGTCACATTGACTCAAAGATTAACAAATGTTAGGTGTTAAAGGTCAGTGTGAATCATCATCATCAGACATATATGAGCAGAATTGTAAGACTTATTTTGTCCGGGTCTCCAGATTTTCATCTGAAATATTAAAATGTAAAATTCACAAAATACATCTGACAGAATAAAATGTACAAAAATAAACCATCCCTGTTGATCTGCATTTTCCAAAGCAGCTGCCTTTCACATTAAATACCACAGGGAGCCTCATAGCAGGATAAGCATAGCAGGATTTGTAAAAGCGGTAGTGATTAGAAGTAATATAAATAATTTCAGAAGTTTATACCCCAGAGTATTTATGAACATACAAGATGTGTCAGATTTGAATGTATGTGCATGTGCTTGTGTGTGTGTGTGTGTGTGTGTGTGTGTGTATGTGTATGCTGGCAGGAACACATACATATTAGGATGCTTGTGCCAGAGTTTAGTCTTACATCTCCTCCTTTCATTCTGTCTGACTGAATCGCATGGTAATTAACAATCTCTCCTCAAAAGTCAAATTAATTAACTCGGTTCTTTGAATAGCTCCGTGCCCTCCTCGTCCTGACTCAGCTGCGGCTGGCAGCGCAGTGTTGAATGTGTCCTGATGAGCGCAGCGACCATATCAGTGTCTGGAGAAGTCGTCTCTGTTCAACACATAATGCTCCAGTTGAATACCTTGGCTCAGACACCTCAGATGATGATATACTTTAAATTCTTCACAAGAACATTTAAAGACTTAGTTGTATAGTTTGACCTCTTTATTTCTTATCTTTTTCTAATGTATTCTAATATTTTTTTGTTCTGTACTTTTGCACATAAAATATATCAAATGTTATACTGCAATATACCATATACTAAAATTGTTGTATTGCATTGCAGTACTTTATATTTCACCATGCAATTGCTTCCTAAATAGTTGTTGTATGCTATTTTTATTCTATTCTTTTTGTACTCATGGGGATCAGTGAAGTAATATCTGGTGATTTTTAATTTGGGTGAATTTGGGAGCTGCACATACACACAAGTCATCTCTCACTGTTTCCCTCCACGCAGCTTCAGCACTGAGCTTTCAAAGCTGCTCCTGTTTTTCCGGACCCCACCCCTCCTGGTGGTTTAGGTCACTGTTGCCATGGTGACAATGCCAGTCCTCCCTTTGTCCCTTGGATGCACCGGTATGACCAATGGTTTCCTCCTGAGTCAATCACACACCTGCACGACACATCATTCTGACGGGACATGGGAAGTCACCAGTCGCACATAGTCAGACCAGTGTGTGTGTGTGTGTGTGTGTGTGCATGTTTATGTACACACATTGTCTAATGGGTGTGTACTGTGAGATTACACACGTGTGATTTCTGGTTATGTTTCTCCCGGACACCTGCAGCAAACATAATTCACACCAGCCTCTCGGAGATGGTGCAGGTGTGAATCACTGTCTCTCTCCTCCTCGCCATGGCTCTCCCTTTTTTTCCCTCTGTGACCCCCCAGCCCTCCAGAAATAGCTTCCGTCCATGAGTCAGGTTCCCACCCCACTGCCCCCTCACCCAAACCTACCGAACAGGACATCCATAGGAAAAAAGTGTGAGAAGTGCAAGAATACAGGGGGGGGGGGCTGAAATGAAAGAAAAACATCAGTTTGGGAGTTGGAGGCAGAATACAACTGGGAGAGAGGGAACACAGAGGGAATAATGAAAATGATGTGAAAGACAGAGGTGAGGAAATGTGAAACCTCAATATAGGTGTCACAATTTCTTTACGATTGTCTTTTTTCTTCTCTCATTAAACATCACACCCATAGAGCAGGAGAAATTAACTTGCTGTACTTCAGTGTTCTGGAGATTTTTTAGTAATATCATGTTGACTTCATCAGAAAGAGTTGTCATAAATTGTAAAATCAAATTTCAGTTTTCCCCAATCACTGTATAGAGTTAAACATGTTGACTTACTACAGAGAATCTCAAATTAATTTCTGGAGTTTCCAATACATTGGCTCAGAGGAGAAACAAGGTTGTACTGAGAAGCTGACATTGCACTCAACTTGTGTATTTGATCTACATGCATCTTTGTGTTAATACATGGGGAGGTTCAGATGTTTGTTGTGTAGACAAAAGCACACTGTGATAGTTCTGATTCTCTGTACAATGTTTTCAGTGGTTGTAATGTGGGTTCACTGGTGCTGCTCTGGTTTGTATGTATACAGGTTATAGAGATATCTTCACCTGCAGATTCACTGAAACAATGAAAAATGCTCTTTATGGGCTGAGGTCATCATCTTTATCTTTCTCACCAAATGGGACACACACACAAAGAGAGAGAAACACACATACACAGTCGTGTCTCCATGACTTCAGAGGTCATTACATTGATTTCTGTGAGACTTACTTACTCTAACCATGACTATAGATACTACTTGCCTAACCCTAACCTTAAAGTTACCATAAAACTAACCTAACCTAAACTAAACCAAACCAAACCTAACCATGAACTTATCATAAACCTGACCTAACCTAACTTAACCTAACCAAACATAACCTAAACCTAACCTAACCAAACCAAACCAAACCAAACCATGCCTAACGAAACCAGACCAAACCTAAACCTAATCTTAAATTTATCATAAACCTGACCTAACCTAACTTAACCTAACCAAACTAAACCAAAACAAACGTAACCTCACCTCACCTCACCAAGCTAAAATCTGAAACTACCCTAACCTTAAACTTACCATAAACCTGACTTTACCTAACCGGACTTAAACCTAACTTTAAACGTATCATAAACCTGAACTTACCAAACCAAACCTAACCTCACCAAGCTTAAATCTGACTATCCTAACCTTTAACCATACACCTGACCTAACCAAACCATACAAAACTTAACCAAACCTAAACCTAACCTAAACCCACCTAACCTAACCTAACATACACACACATAGAAACAGATGCCTGCATGTACTATGAACACAGTCTTGGTGACTTTGGTCTCTACATTCTGTTCTGCCTTGCCCAAGGGCACCTCGGCAGCAGCAGCCTCTCCACACCCTCTCCCTCCCCATCTTCCTCTGTGGAGGAGCAGCAGTCTGTTTGACCGCCTTTGCTCACCGTGAAGATTTTGAGGCCGTGACGTATTTACTAACGGGGACGCGCGAGTTTTCGCACCGGTGCTCCATCTGCTCGAGAGGTTCGACTATTTGTGGAGACAAACGCGCCTCGCTCCCGAGCCGCTCTCACCGTTTTCTTCCCGTTAACGGACACACTTGTCAATAAGCTCCTACACCTTCCCACCGCTGCGTCCACCGGGAGGGAGACTGTGACCCGCCACACTGTTGACTGAAGTTTTTATTAGGACACGTTCTCCATCATAAAAAGTGAGATTTACTTTATACAACCAAAGCCGCAAAAAAAAAAAAAAAAGAAGATGCTGGATCGTTGGAGCCAAACTGTCGTGTCGTTGCTCTATGGATGCCTGGCTTGTCTTGTGATCAGCTCAGTGAATGTAAACGCAGACGGTAAGTTAACATTTTAATCCACAAATGACAAGAAACCCACAGACTTCATTATAAACTCAAATCCAAAACTTTGGGGGTTCGTTCCTCGGCGCGCAACGGAGGAGGAGCGCGCGAATCAACGGCACCTGTCTTGTCATCTCCTGCATTTAGCAGGTTTATCATCACACGGGAGCTTTGTCCCTCTCATCCCGTGATTGTTTCATTTTCTGGTAGAAATATTTTATCTGAAAAACAAACAAAAAAAACAGTGCGTAAAGCTGTGCGTAATGCTGAGTCCAGCTTTTATAGATGAGGCTTAGTTTGCTGTTTCCCCACGTTGGATCCATGTATTTATTAAAAATGATACATTTTGATAACTTTCTGATTGTATTTAAAAGGCTGAAAGCATGTTTTCTGTAGTATAACTGTGACTGTTTATAGTGCCCATGAAGGGGACGTAGTGCCAATTTACAGTAAATGTACCTGTCGCCTATAAACTCACAGTTATCAAGCGTCTCTGCTCATCTGTATTCTCCAGATACTGACATGCAAATATGAACTGTCTTTATTCTGATCTTTGACATGTGATTTCAATGCATCATTTAGCAGCTGGCGTCAAATAGGATTTCATATTGTGTTGTGACATTTTTTGGATCTAGCCCAATAATAAGCTGTTACCTTAATTTTAGGACAGATATGTCTAGCTATTAGGTTTATGGCTTGGATTGTGGCTCTAAAGTGTACATATCCCAAAACCATATTTTAAAAAACTTGTGCTGTACATTTTAATACTAACATACTGTAATTGTTAATATAAAGTTCTCCTAATAATAAAAACATTTTAGCTGTCCCCACTCATTTCTGATGCATCTATAGTCTTTCTTCATATTGATTTCATTGTAACTTACAATTAAATTTTCTAATAGTCTGGGTTTTTAGTTCTAAGACAGGCAGCCATTATCCAAAAGCTCACAGGTCATTTTCTCAGCTGACAATTTGTCCACATTAGGCTGAGCAAAAAAACAATATCAGCAGTTATCACATAATTTTCATGGCAATATAACAAAAGTCCAATTTATATATCAATGTAATGATTATGCATTGTGCCAGCACAGCGAGGAGGTATAACACATCATCAGTGTACCTCATATACCATGTGTTTGTCATTCTCTGCTCATAAAGAAGAGCTTAAAACCATAACCATCACTCAGGCGCAGAAATCAGTCTTTCATCTGAAATAATGTGGCATAAATCGTGATAATTATTGACCTAATAATTTTTATCCATATCACACAGACCTAGTCCAAGTACACCTGCCACTAGTTTCAGAGGTTTTCCTCTTACTTCCTGTTTTCTCTCTCTCTTCTCAGGTCGGGTGTTTGTGTTGGACCTGAGGAACTCCTCTGGCCCTCTGGGCTTCAGAGACGCAGAGCGGGCCTGTGCCTCACAACATGCCCGCTTGGCATCAGCAGAGGATCTCCGTCATGCTGTGGTGGAGTGCTTCTTTTCTCCATGCACCCGTGGGTGGCTCTATGGCGGCACAGTGGGGTAAGAAAAGCAAAGACAATAAGTACTCTGTCTTCATTTGTTGTAAAGGACATGTAAGGGAGGTGGCTGATTTCAAGAGATGTCAAAGGTCATCTCTGGTGTGTGTGTGTGTGTGTGCTCCTGCGTGTGACGGAGGTTGTAGAGGTGGATGAAAGAGAAAGGAAGCGAAGGCTGCAGCGGCAGTTTGAGAGAGCGGGAAGGATAGAAGAAGAGAGTGACACATTTCAAGGGGGAAAGAGAAAAAGCGGAGGGGAAGAGAGAGAGAAAGACTCCTCTGTTCCTTCCTGGAGGAGGAGGGAATTCAGAGCCGGGGTGTCATGTCGACAACTGCCTCCATTTACACCTCTCATCTCCACGGTAACATGACACACAGCTTTCAGCACCCAGAGACAGAAAGCGACAGAGAGATGGAGATGATTTTGGGCTTGAGGGAAGACAGGTACACCCTTGTAGTCAGGTGTTTCATTGACATCTCGTATCATTAGCAGTAATCACACGAGACCAAATGACCCTTAGAGTTCCTTTACAAGTACCTTCAGTTATATACATGGTAAACAGTGGTTTATGATGTAGTATCTGGTAAAATTATTATATAAAACTACTCATGTGATACTCGCTCATAGTTTCAGTGGACAAATATCCAATGTCATAAAAAATGGCGACTTCTAGAATAATGGTGAACATTCCGTCTTGTCGAAGGAAAAGCTGAAACCTTTTTTTAAATCTCTGTACACTCCCTGCGTGTTGGAAGGTGGACATTAGCTTTCACATCCACGTACCATGTTTCAGAGTCATCCATCTTCAGCTCCGTCTGTCCAGCGTGGTTCATCTCCGCCCATCTTCAGACCTTCTCCACCACAACTACGACTTCTGCTGTGTTTGTGACGAAAATGGAGTTTAATGTTATTATGGGCTGTTGCTCTCAGTGTTTGCAGCATCACATTACAGACACTCTGTATATTTACTGTTTACATATTTCTGTCTGGTCACATATTTCAAAGCATATTAACTGGAGGGATGTCAATCCTGCTTTCCTGCTAGCTTCCTTTAAGGCCACTCCTTGGTTTCTGTTGTAGCTATAGATTCAGAAGTATTCACACTTCAAACTTCTTCCCAGAAATGAAGCCAAAATATCCCGGATACGAACGATGCAATCTTGCACATTTGTAGCCAGAGTCTAGTGATCAGGAGGAGCCAAGGCACCAAGGTCTCGTCAATACACGCACTCGACCGATCACGAGTCGGTCTCAGCTGTCAATCGTGGCATTTCATACCTTGTTTTTAAAACATCTAGTAAATAATATTTGAGAAAATTCATTGAACTTTTTAGTTTCGCCTGTGTCCCAACTGCCAACATGGAGGAGGCGGAGTTTATAACCTATGCTGCAGCCACCGGAGTCATTCAGTTGTTCATCTTTATACAGTCTATGAGGTGTATGCGGTTATGATGTATAGTACTGGAAACTGGTCGTGAAGAGTGAAAACATTTAAAAAGGCAAAGAAAAAACTTAAGCTTTGACTCACAGAGCATATAATGATGCTTTAGTGTGTGTAGATTTACACGGTGGTTAGACAGTGTTTGTTTTTAATCAGTGTGGAAAGGGCCTGGAGCGTTTGTAGTTAATCCAGGGTCCGTTCAGTGGATGTTCAGTCACACAGTTCAGGAAGTTGCTTTGATAATAAATCACTTATTTCCATTGTAGAATTTGTGACAGTTCTGCAGGAGGTAACGCTCTGGTGTGAGTGCCTGTTAACCCATATTCTTCTACAGATTTCGTCTTTTTTTTGCTCTCTTGCATAATAACAGATTGACTCTTCTGCCGTAATGTCTTCATCTTAACTGTCTCTGCTGCCTGGCAACCGGACACACACACACACACTCATCCTTGGGGGTTTCCTGTCATTATGTCATACAAGATGATGACTCTGACGAAGTTGGTCAGGTGAAGCATACACTGTAATAGAACCCCCCCCCCCTCCCTTCTCTCACAGACACACACACCTTCACTCACACACACACACACACACACACACACACACACACACACACACACACACACACACGTGCACAGCTGCCTGCAGGAGCTATAGTTTAATATGAAAACAGTCTTTGTGATTTTTGTCTCTCTCTGGCTGTTTTCTTGGCGATTTCTGACTTCCTTCTCTCAGACTTTTGTCCTTATAAGCTGAAGTTATAGCGTCGCTCGAGCCTTCAGAATGACTCACGCTGCTCTTAGTCTCGAGCTGCACTGCCAGTCAAATTCTTCCAAATTACTGATGCTTTGATTAACTCAGTTGCACAAGTTAACAAACATACACACACAGACACACACACACATGCACAACTCTTGGCTGATACCTTTTTAACTGACGAAGCCTGATTAATATTAATGAAAAGTAATGTATCTGGGCTCAGTGAAACTTTGTCATGACTTTTCTCTCTAAATGTGGTTGAGTGTTGCTATGGGAACATGATTTGATTGGCCTGGGAAGTTTTCGAGTCTGTGTTATCTGGTGCTTTCGGATGATAAGTGGGCTAATGATGCCATAAACCTAGTTAATAATGGGGCAACAAAAAAAGAGTATTTACTCATCGTTTTTAGCTTTTAGGCGACGTGGTCCGACCACATTACTCACCACATTTAGTCCTTGTGGAATATGTCTCATATTAAGTCGCTGATGTTGTGATTGTTCTATATGAAGCTGGCTATATCTTTGGACTTGCATGGGAACATCTATTCCCAACGTGCCATTGTGAGATAATGTTGTGCCACAAGCGACAAGTGCTGATACTGCAGCGTGTCTGAGGCATGATGTGTGTCCCTGTACTCTGATGTCATGCTGTAATAATATTTGAAGAGAGAGAGCAGACAGTACGGCATAGATTTAATAGCGAATGCCGTCATGTTACCCGTGTACATGTATAAACCAGAGCACACAACACACATCACATCGAGCAGGAAAATAAAGTCACTTGTCCTGCAGAAAAATGCCTCATTATAGTATTATAAATAACATTATTTGATTGTAAGAAGAAAAAATAAACACACAAAGTTGTGGTTTTTGGACTTGTTTAGTTTTTTAAATAGCTGATATTATATTACTGTATAGCATTTATTTGACCTCTTTAGGCCTTTAGGCTTAAATCAAACTTAAAGGCCTAAAGACCTATTCAGAAGAATTGTCTCTTTGGATAACAACTAAATCTCGAACATGAAAACAGAACATGAAGTATTATTATTTATTAATATATATATATTTTTTATTATTAAATATTAATCTGGAAAATATCTGATAACTGAAGCTGATGTACCCCAAACCTGCACTTACAGTCATAATATGTCTTAGTTTCCACCACTGGGTGTACATATTGATGTGTAACCTATAGTGTGCATGTGTCACAAGTTACAAGTTAACACACTGGGTTTAATTATAATCACCCTCCACCAGTCTTTAAATGTGCTTTAAACATAATTTGGTTTTAAATGAAATTCATAAATGTTCTCACTGTCCTGCCTGTGTGTCTCTCTCCTGTTGTCTAGGACCACAGTGTGTAATGTCGCGGGCAGTGCACTGAACGCAGTGGAGGTGAGAACAGAAAATGCTACAGAGGACACGGCTCACCTGGACGCCTTCTGCATCAAAGATAAAGGTTAGTGAAGACACAGATGTGTGAATATACACATGTTTTCTATATGTGTCTTCATTTAGCGATCCGTCATTAATATCTGAGTGTGTGCAGTGATCCATGAAAGTACGTAAACCCTGATGGATCTGAAGCTAAATTCCACACACCTACTCCACTGGCATGGACCTGACGGGGAGGGGAGGTTACAGAATATTATTGGGTGCCACCCAGAGGAGATCTATATTCCTTCCTCATAAACAGTTGAGCCACTGGGGCTGAACCACACCCAGAGACTGGAGCCAACATTCTGCTGAGAGAGAAATTAACAATCCACTCAGAACAAAAGGAAAAGAAGTTACAAGCATCACAGTCAGGGTTGGAGCTGAAGTAGAAGTTACAATAGGTGGTTTAGAGGTATTGATTGTCAATCCAGTCCCATTGTCAGAAAAATAGACTATTTTGTATATACATTTATCATTTTTTATCATTTTTAAATACGTTTATAATAAATCAAGTCAATTCTGTTGGTGAAAAGTTGGTTTTATTGGATCATTCCCAATGGTGGAAGATATATTCAGATCATAAACTTTAGTAAAATTACCAAGACAGCATCACTTGTCATTACTCCATTACAAGTTTAAGTCCTGCATGAAAGACTTACATGAAATACACACATCGCACCAAAATGTAGTTACAGTACAAAAGTAAAAGTACATATTTTCCCATCTAAATGATATGATACATCATTACTGTACTATACATGATTCTGTACATTTAGGCTACATCCCACTATATGTTCAAGATTTTTTATTTACATATATCCCTGTGTTTGTTGTCCACAGACGTGCCGTGTGGGGACCCTCCATCTTTCCCCAACGCTCGTCTGCAGGGTCACTCTGGCTTTGAGATGGGCGACGAGCTGCTCTACACGTGTGTGCCGGGTTACGTGATGCCCAGCGGACACACTGCCTTCAGCCTGCTGTGCGACAGCTGTGGAGAGTGGTATGGACTGGTGCAGATTTGTGTCAAAGGTAAGAAGGTGTCAAAACTGTGCATGTTGGAGTGCAGGGCAGAAATGGAAAGAGGATGAAAGAATAAGTAAAATAGAAATTCCCCATTGTGCTTTTCAAAGTTCTGAGCTTTGACCCAGACAGCAGACCGCACCGAGGTCGACCTCCTCACTTCCTTGCTTGTTGGCTCCCAGTGTCGTTAGGTGACCGCTGCTTGATTTCTGGCTTTTGGGGGAAACAGAGTCTTAACTATGAGTGGGGAAGAAAAGGCTGCGATGACACCTGAACGTGACATACCGTAGTGTTGCCCAGAAGCAGAGGGTCTGAAGAGTCCCTGTCTATGGAGGCAGAATGCCAGGCCTGTGTGAGGGGTTACAGAGACGTATTTGTGTTTACTCTCAGGAGCAAATTACCCAAGAATAAACCAGAGTGGTCACAAAATGATTTAAATAGATACTAAAGGTAGAATCTATTTCTGTTACACAAAATCATATTGACATTTTGTGTGATTTATTGCTACAATTTTCTCTTTTCTTGCAATAAAGTAAGAAGTTTCACCAGCTCAGGCCTTTGAGATTCAAGATCTGCTTTGTGAGAGACACATGAGAAGATTGAAACTGTGTCAAGGTAAAATCGAGGGTTAGTTAGTAAGGCAGGTTAGATAGTGTAGTTACTTTAGATTTAAATAAAATCTGGAAACAGCACCTACACCACAGCCAGTAAATACTGGATGTAGAAATCAATCGGCTGGGTAGTTTTTGGGTGATCCTGCTCATAAAGAAACAAACAAACCTTGGTGGATGTAACAACAGAAGAGATTATGCATGCGGCAGTGTATTGATGGGAAAATAGTTTGCTTCCTAATTGAATTACTGGTCAGTGGACTTCACAAAGTCGGACCATTCAAAGCAAAGAAATTGTAGTTTTTTAGAGGTGCTACTACATTGATTTTGAGACAGATGCATACTAGCTGTTTCCATTTGTTTCCAGTCTTTATGCTAAGCTAACTGTAGCTTCATATCTTTTGTATGGACATTAGGGTGGTATGTTCTCACATGGCACTTAACAACTCAAGGGATCATAATCCAAAAGTGTGAATTACTTCCTTGCTGTCACAATCTGAAAGTTGTGTGTGATTTTTTAAGTTGAATGGTATAATTATGGAAATAAAGACCTGATATAGCTCTGTCAGCTGATCGATCATATATGTTTCCTCTTTGTGTTCCCTCAGATGAGACTGAAAGTCACATAGACTATGAGGACAAGTTCACAGATTCCTACGAGGAGGAAGAGCACCACAGCGAGAAGCCAGAGGAGGCTCATGGCGAAGTGTATGAGGAGGTGCATGGAGCTGCATACCCGGAGGGGAGGAGGGGTCAGGAGCAGCAAGAGATGAGCTTTGGTCTCGTGGAGCATCAAGACGAGCGTGGAGACGATGAAGCAGGAGGAGAATTGATTGGTAGTAAGTTTGACGGTGAAAAAGACGAGGACCGGGCTGTTGAAGACTTTATAGGTCATCCGAGGTGGGAGCAGGAGAGGAGGGAGGTGGTGAGGATAGATGCAGCTGCAGCCACAGAAGCACCGGTCTCTCTTCTCTCCCAGAAACACATGTTCTGGTTTCCCTCTGAGGCCTTTCAGGATGAGGGACAGTCCGTCTCCTCCAATCCAGTCACACAAACTACACAGAGAGCTTCAGGCACCCAATCAGAGGAGAGCAAAGAACACGAGAGCCAGGAAACCCAGCATCCCGTTGATGTAGATGACCATGATCACGAGGGGGACAGCTATGACGATCATGACACAGATGACCCACAGGATCACGATGACAGCCGCCACTATGATCAACCTGACCGTGACAGTCACCAGGACGAAGATGGCCACGACGACCATCTGAAACATTACATTCCAGCTCAGCACGATAATCTGGACAGACGGGACCGCCATGAAAAACAAGACGATCACGATGACCCCAATGACCATTATGACATGGGCGAACATGAAGATGATCGTGTTCGCTACAGCAGCCCAGAGTACGATGATCAGGACGACACTTACGATGAACACGAAAGCTACGAGGATCACAAGGACGTGACTGACGATCATGGAGCAGTTGTTCAAGAGCATCCTGAAGACTCAACGGAACATCCAGACCACCACGACCATGATGATGCCGAGGAGCATTACGACCTGGAGGAGGACGATAGCGACAGATTCACTGATCATGATGCGCATGACAACGATGACCATGACAGCTACGATGATCACGACAGCCACGAAGATGTTGATGATGGTCATCAGCGTGTCATCTTTTCTATAGCAACAGATGTACATAAGAATGGCACTGCGAATGGAGCAGAAGAGAAGGCAACAACGGATGAAACCTGGCTAGACGGCTACCCCATCGTCATAGAGGAAACTGAAAAAAGTGATTCGACAACAGAGCGAGTGAGACCAGAGGACGGAGAGAGGGGGACACATGCCACAACAACAGACAGACCCAATGAGGTGGAAATTCGTAGACCTGTCCCTTACACCAGTTTACCAGAGGAACATGAGTCTCCCACTGTGGACCCTGAACAAGGTGGAGTAAAGGACGTCTGGCCTGGCTTCATCCCCACCGCTGCTCCTTCCCCTGACCATATAGAGCCCTCAGACTTCCCCTCATACTCTGACACTCTCGACTACGACACGCAACAAGCAGCTCCCACCCGCTCCTGGCAGGGAGACCTCACCAAGCACCCCTTCCTCGATTACAGCCTGGCTCCCCCAATGCATAATGGCGACGTCCTGATGGAGGACAACATGCACAACCTGCCCGGTGAGACTGGCGAGCGTGGGGAGGTGGAAGGGGAGATGGGGGAGGCAATCTGCGTGGGTGATGACTGCCCTCCTCCTCAGAGCTCCTCCAGCAAAGGTGCCACGATAACCGTCATCATCGTGGCGTTGTGTGCATTGGCTGCGGCAGTCATCGTCGGTGTGTGGTGTTACCGACGGCAGCAGCAGAAGAGCTCGATGTACGAGATGAACGGGAAGGGCCAGGGTCACAGCAGACAGGGCCAACAGATAGAGATGCAGCAAAAAGTGTAAGAACCAGAGAGACGAGGAAAGAAGGACACTGACGGAGGGCAGAGACATTTAGGATGAGTCAGATGAATTTGAGAAGAAAGCACAGCCACAGCTACTGCATAATTGAAGATTTTGGATCAGTATGAACAAAAGAGTCCTGTTTTATATGTTACATGTGTGGTGCACAAAGTAGAGTAAAGCAGTAAGAAGTGATGCAGCAGTATGGTAGAAGCTAGTCTCCTTCCCAACAATTCTACGGAAGTTTACCTATCTTTGTCATACTCATTCATTATTTTCAAAGCCCTGACATCTCTGTGGACAGTTGAGGGGGCTCTGTCTGGACTGGACTCAGTTCCAGGAACTTAAAAAAAAGAGACTGTAAGGAAACCACAAGAAGACATGCCTGCCTGAAGTACACGAAAGAGACTTCAACCTCCAAAGCTCTTGGACATTGTGGTGAAGATTCTCTGCATTACTTTGCGGTCATTTATGTTGAGTGGTCTTGTTTCTTTCTTTTGATTTGTACTGTTCTGGATTTATAGATTTCAACCTTTTTTTCTATTTGTTTTGTTTTATATATATAAAAATATCCCACTTGTTAGATAGAGTTAGAGGTTCACAACACTGCAGTAAATTTGGGCAGGTATTTTCCCAAATGAAAGATCTGGCTTCTGTTAGACCAGTGTGAAAGAAAGCAGGAAAATTATGATTTTGATGATAATGATGGCTAGACCAGATGAGAGACTGAGTATGAAGAGAGCTGAAATGAAAAAGAGGCCGGGGGATGGTGTGAATAAGAAGTATGATGGGAGAGCCATTTAAGGACGTTCCAGCCTCTGTTGGTTTTGACAGTCAGCTGGTGAGAAATATAAAGCAGGTTTCCAGACTGCAAACCCGGCCCTGTGTTTGTGTGTGCGTGTGTGTGCAGGTGTCTCAGGTTTGTGCAATCTGCTGCTCAGCGGTACACCGTGTTTGAAGAAGCAGGGAGGATGCTGACGGCATTCAGACCAGACAGAGATCAAACTTTGTGTTGCTGCCATGGCAACAGAGAGGAACTACCCCAAATGTTATAGTTAAAACATTAGCAGTCGTTTTCTGAAATTCGACAGTTCCGAGTGTTTTTCCTCGTGAGATTTGATGAAAGATATTTTTGAATATCTTGCGGAGCTGGAGATGTTACAGAACATCAGTGCATTATGTTCCTGTGCTTGTTTTCTGTCAGATAATTGTTTGATTGAACCTCTGGTTTCAGTTGGAGTTTTCAATTCAAATATAAATACGATTTCAGACAATTTGTATATCAACTCAAATCTGTAATGTGAGAAATTTAATGAAGTCGGTTGAATGAATGCCCTGTGGTTGTTTGCCTCTGCCAACCAGTAGAATTTTAGTCTAAATATATGTTTTTCCAGAATCATATGAGGTCACCTCTGACTGACCACTGAAATCTAATCAGTTCATCTCTGAGTGAGAACTGATCAAAATTGAAAGAAAATCCCTAAAAGCAGATTTGAGATATTATGTCCAGTTGGCCAAAAACATGTTTTGTGAGGACACCACGACCTTGGACTTTGACCTTTAACCACCCAAATCTTATCAGTTCATCTGTGAGTCTGACTGAACATGTGTGCAAAATTTTAAAGGATTCTCTTGAGGCGTTATTATGATAACATGTTCACAAGGCAAAAAATGGTTTTGTGAGGCCACCTGGAACTTTACTTTTGACCACCAAATTCTAATCAGTTCATCCTTGAGTTGAAGTAAACCTTTGGGTCACGTTAGAAGAAATTTTCTCAAGGTGAACTTGAGATATCATGTTCACAAGTGGACGACTTGATGTTTTGTTCTTCAGCTGCTAAATTGAATTAGAATTCATAAATATATAAACAAAGGCCAATCATCACAAGAGGATTTAAACACTTAGATATTGTGATGTACAACGATGCCAAAATGAGCTACAGTATGTTACAGTAAATTTAATTAAGTGTCAACAGTGGCTGGTGGACGAGGTGATTTATGGTGTCATCGGTCATGAGTGATAATTCTAACACAACATTCAGTGTTTTCTGCTGGTTTATAAAAAGTTTTTTTTATAGTTTATTTTTAATCTGGTTATGAAATAAGGATTTGGATGAGTTAAGTGGATAAGCCTCTTCTTCATTTCTGTATTGTGGTATCTGAAACTATGTCGACACTATTCGTGGTCGAGCGCATGGGGTGGAATGAAGTGCCTGAAGTGTCTGTATGTTTGTGTAAATATTAACTTGCTGTACATACTGTAGCATATCTGGTGTGGAGGAAATCTCCTCACAGAGACGAGCATGGATCACATTAGACGTGACCTCTACACAGAGTAGCAGTCATTTCCACCACTAATAATCTCACTGTTTCGTGGACTGCTGTTGAAACACAAGTACTGTACTCGCAGACGTCAGCTGCGGGGCCTTGTCTGATCTCACACCAGATTGTGTAATCACCTGAGTTCATGTGCACGACACTTATGAAAACCAGCGGAGGCAAAAACAGGAAATGTTCATTTGACGTCTCTGTGTCTCGTTCACATGACGCTCTAACCTGACGGTTTCTCCTGCCTTTCAAACAGCCTGATGTGAGTGGTGTCAGGGTGAAGTGCATACTGTGTAGTCACAATAAACTCCTTAACATTTGACTCTGTGCTGATTATTGCAATTGATGTGGTTTCAAGTCTTGAATTTCCTTTTTTTTTTTCATTCATCACGGTCAAACAGAAACATTCAGTCATGGAGATAAAGATGTCAAATCACGTGGTTCGTTTATTGCATTGTTTACCGTTCATTGTACAAGTGTGACCTGTGACCTTGACCTTTAACCTCGACTCCTGACAATCAGCTTTTCATCTTAACTTTTATCCGAGCTCCTTTTTCAGACCGCTGTTATCTTCCACCTCTCTGCCGCCCTCACGAAACGTTGACAGAAGAAGGAAAGATGTGAAATAAAGCATTGTAGAGGAAAAAGGAGAAGCAATAAAAGAGAAGTAAATACTGGGAGGAGAGAAACGAGAGCACAGAGCTGCAGACAGAGAGAGACGCGCACACACACACGCACACACACTGTAATACAGAGGGAATGTTCCCCTGTGGGTTTTTAACATCACTGTGTGACAAACTGCACTGAGACTCAATGTTCAAACATTATTAAACAACTCAGTGTTTTCTCTGGCTGCTTCTCTCTGCTCTGCACAGCCCTGCATGGGTTTCGTCTAAAAGGTTGTTGCTGTTCAGCCCTTCAGGTCCTCTTCAAGCAAAAATACCAAACATTCCCAAATTCCACTTTTTCAATTGTGGTGTTTTGAAGATTCCTTTGAGCTATGTGATTGTAAATAGATTGTTTTTTTTTGTTCTGGATGGTTGGTCGGACACAATATGGCATCTAAAGACGTGGGCTACCGCTTAAAGCAATTGGAATGGAATGCTGACCTTTATATACATATATTCCAGAGTGAGATTGATATTTAAAAACGTAATTTTATTGTGACAGGACAATTTTTGACATCTATGATTCACAGCGGAGGAAGAATACGTAAAACATTGACTAAAATCATTTCGGTCTCAATTAACATCATTGCCTTTTAAATCATGTATCATTTACTGTGCTGACTGTCCACATACTGTACCACTGATCTGAGTATTTTATCCACAAATAATCGGGATAAATATTCAGGATGTGAAGCTGTAAGGTTAAAAAAAAAATAAACCCAGTATGACCCACAAGAACCTCTTAAAAAACCCCAATAAATACAAACTGGTGCCGCTTTCTTGTTCTTCAGTGTTTAGGCAGAGCTTCTAACGTGGGCTATTCATCCTTGTCCAGGAACTCATCTATAAACTCCACCACCTCCCCCTGTGGACACACACACACACACACACACACACAAAAGAATCAACCAGAGAAGACTTAGGTGGGTCCGTGACATTTTCCTCTCAATGAATTAGCCTCAGTTCTCCCACTAACACTTGTATCTGCAACTTCTCGTACCTGCCCTTACTAAATAAATCTCAGTCAAGTCAAGTGTATTTGCTGCATACAGTAAGTAATCCTGGCTTATGCTGGGTCGCCCTGATGGCCACAGTTCTTGAGCTGCCTCTTTAAAACTGGAAGAGATGCAGTGTCATGCTGCCATCCCGTGGTCGTGTGTGACATCACAGCTTGATAAAAACAGGGCCCACATTGTACTGCAGGGCGTCATGTGACCTGACTGAAGGATCTAGGATTTTTCCATAAGTTACACAAGGACACAGCCAATGAGAGCATCGAGCTACCTGATGTAAACCCTGGCAGACTTCATGAGGACAATGCTGACCTATTTTTAAGGGTGCACTAGACTGTATCATGTGTTCCCTTCTCGTGGCCAGAGATAACCCCCTGGCTGGAAGCTTTCCCGTGATGCGCCGACACACAAATAAATGCAAACACAAGCACGCACCTCATCATCGCTTATCAGCCGCTGTCTGGAGAACTCCATCATCTGTAGCTGCATGGTGGTCTGATTGTGGTATCGCAGTGCCTCCTGTAGGAAACACACAGACACGCAACAAAATAACCTGTTACAGTGAACCACTCAGTTTGAGTGTGTAAGGTGAGTAATCATGAATGCGTCTTACTGATCTGGCCAGGAAGTCCTCCTCTGTAAGCCCCCACTGGCTTTTGTGAAACTTGTAATAAGCCAGGTTGTTATTCATGACCTCATCACTGGGGTCAAACAGCACGTAGCTGGCTGCACATGGCACTGCATTCTTAAGGTCATTTACTGAAAACAAAAAAATGAGCTCTTAATCCACAAGACACAAACCTGGCTGACTTAAAGGGATAGTTCCCCTGAACCTCCAAAAGTGTTTTGTGGACTCAAACACTTAACCCACAGCTCCATCAGCATAGTGGTGAGTAGATAATATAGATCATTTGGTGAACTATCCCTTAAAGAAAATCAAAAGGTGCACATAAATGCAAGGGGTGATGAAATACTCACACTTGTAATAAGCAAACTGCAGGTAGTGGTACATGGTGGCTACAAACTTCTCTACAACGAATCCTCCTACAACAGGTGTCAGGTCACTTTCACACCTCACTTTCCTCTGTAGGACCTCGATATAGTGATCTGGAATGAAAAGATATCAACCATTAACTGTTGAATTTTCAGAGAGTCGAGGGAAAAAGAACTAAATGTCATACTGACCTGCTATGGAGGGGTAGAAGTCTTTAAAGTCTTTGACGTCCCTTGGGCCCTCAGACGCAGCCAGACACTCATCGTAGATCTTGAAGAAGTCCCTCAGAGCCAGCTCCATGTCTGACACCGAGGTACGGAAGTTTTCCCCGTTATACGCCCGCACTGCGCGCACAAATAATGTCTGGAATACCACATGACAAAAAAAACAGGTCAATCGGTCAGCTAATGAGTGGTCATTTGTGGTATGATTGAAAAAATCCACATGGACAATGATTATCTGAATCACTGTCCACAGTAAGTCATTAAAACCTACTGCCCTAGTAGCTGATTTGTAAACCATGTGACTGCAGAATCCACAGATCAGTTCAGCTGGAGACTGCTGCTGCATCTCATACCCCTCTAATGTTTCCTGTTTACTGTATATCTACACTCGAATTACAATTTATTAAAAGGAAATATACCAAGAAAAAAATCACATCTAAAACATTTAAAAACAGATATTTCAAGTAGATATTGTTTCTCTCAGGTACCAGAATATAAAATATGACAAAACATTTAGACAGAATATCTTATTTCTGTTAAAGAAAGAGTTGCCATGTGAAAACCTGAATGATCTTCTCCTCTCTAATGCCTGATAAGGAACCCTGAAGTTCCCCAAACCAAGTGTGTGAAGCATTGGTGAGCATTAACCACCATATATGATCATGGCAGCACAAGAACAGGCCCTAAGCACAACATCCATAGAGGCTAGGGTCTACCACAGCAGACAAGACGCAAGGTGCAGGCTGTTCAAAGATGCCACAGTCCAGCACGTATAGCAGGGTGAAGGATGCAGGCTGGGACAGTGTACATTTGGATGGTGTACAGGAACATCTGTGCCAAGTGTGGATTAGAGGCACCTGAGTCCTGATGGGACACTTCACTGAAGGTGGTTGAGAACAACAGAGCTTATGTCCTGTGAGCCCTCAGACTCCAGACTGACAAACAGCTGCTGGCTAACCCATTGGATGTAGTGGTGGTGGACAAAGAACAGAGAATGGCATTATTGATAGATGTGGGAATCCCAGCGGACAGTAACGTCAGGAAAAAGGAGCACGAGCAGATTGACAAGAACCAAGGGCTGAAAGAACAGCTAGAACAGATGTGGAAGGTGAAATGCAATGCGATCTCTGCAGTAGCAGGAGCATGAACTGGGAGAGTGGCTCCAGCAGATCCCAGGTACAACATCTGAAGACTCTGCCCAGAAAAGGGCCATCCTAGGAACAACTAAGATACTGTGCAGAACCCTCAAACTCCAAGGCCTCTGGTAGAGGACCCAAGCCTGTTCCTCACTTTCCTGTTGTAGCTATAGGTTCTCGTGAGTCAGTGTCAGCTGTCAATCATGACGTTTCACCCTTTTTTTTTTTTTTTCATCAAATAAGTATATTAAACCAAATTGAATGGAAAAATGAGCACTTGAACGTACATCAGTGTAGTAAGAAGTGCCTTAAATGGCAGAAACCAATTCATTTAAAGTGTATTTTGTCTTTTAATTTGGTCCATGTCCCATCCACTTAAATGGAGGAGGCGGAGTTTATGACCTATACTGCAGCCAGCTATAGCAGGGGGCAATCAAGACACTTTGGGGAGCTGTCATGTCGTCCATCTTTATACCCAGTGTATGATATTACTCAGTATGAACTCAGTCTTAACTTTCCCACCACAGGCATCTACCACATCGGCACAGCCACACAACCAGATTACAGGATGGTTAGAGTGTTCGCACATTCAAAGACGTGTAGGTATGGGAGTGACTCCTGCGTGCACGCCTTCTTCCCACGTCACATTTCTCACAGAGAATATGATGCATGTACCTCATAGGACTTGGTCTCCAGGTCTTTGAGGTGTTCCTCAGCTCCGGGGAGACTCTGGTAGTACGCCATGTTCCTCTGCATCATCTCATCATCTGGGTGTTTCAGCAGGAAGGTGTGGGCAGCAGAAACCGCCTTGGCCACTTTGTCAGACTGAAGCAAACATCGTTAAATGAATCAACACAAATGTAGCACTGACATTAACAAGAACTGATGATTAATAAGTCTCTAATAATCATTCATGAATAACTTTGATTTGAGGACACAGAATCCATATATACCCTGAGAAAAATAAATACCAACAATGTTTGTTGCTTCTGTTCATACTGGCTGTGAAGAAATCTATTTAAAATCAAATTCAATCCAATCAACATCGTTAAACGTTATATTCTCAGGACCAACATTCATCCGTGTCCTTTCCAGTGTTTCCTTGGTGATCGCCAGTTGTGGTTTAGTAACAAAGAATTTTAGATTTAATTAGAAATGTGGAAGATACCTGCAGATTTCTTGTATTGGCTTTGACAAACCCATGAAATCTATTTTTTGCTCATAAATGATTCAGTAGTTTTTTGACCAATCCATAGAAATCCTTCCATGGATGAGAGGTCTCTTCAT